TGTGTCTGCGTGCGAAAACTTTGCAATTGCCGGTGCATTTTCCGGTGCATTTTCCGACGTTGGGCAGCGTCCTCTAGGGGTGCATTGCAAAGATGGGGTCCAACTGATGACAGCATTCGGTGTGAGTGTTTCGCAAAATGTTTTGTCATCGTCCTTCCTCGCAGCGTGGCTGCGGGAGGTTCACTTGTTGGGATAAGAGGAATGACCGGATCCGTCCTCCAGGCACCATGTCCCCGAATGACTTCGAGGGAATGAAACGGAAAAGGAAATGGGAAGCGTTCATGAACGCCGCCTTCAAAATGACACCTGATTCCGGTTTCATGAACTCGTACCTGGAGAACGAGTACTGCAAGGACTGGACGAACAAGATGCGCGGATACATGAATCTTGCGCAGTGCGGCGAGACGGTATGGCCGCTAGTACATAAATTATTTGCCATGTACGAGAAAGGGCTATTGCCGAAAATCGACGGTGTGGGATACATCGACCTGCCGGGGAAAGTGGAAGGGAGGCTGCCTGGGCAATACTTCCTCAAGGACAACTCCGACAAAAAAGTCTTGTTCCACTGCATCAAGGTCAGAAAGGGGCCACCAGGCGCAACGGTGTCTATACCTGATTTGACGCCTACAATCTTCAAGCAGTTTGGCGATATGACAGCGAGAGAGAAACAAGTGGCGCTTCACCACATGATGCATGGTGATGTCATCGTGTCATCACGTACGGTTGTTCAATGGTTATGCAACATGGCGGACCTGGTGAAATATACTCGGCGTGAAAGGTATATGATCCGTATGTTCAACTACATATTGTTCAAGGCCGATGGAAGGTCAAAAGAAGAGTGGAACGCTGACTTCTTCATCGATTATACGACCATCTTGGAGAGGTACAGCAAAAACAGTCTGTCTGATGAGAAATTGACCGAGGAACGCGACCTCATCCCTGACGACAAGGCGAGGAAGGTGCCGAGGCGTTTGGGCGGTCCTGATGAGGAAAATGGTGAGAACGGTGCGGGACTGGAGGCAACCCAAGGCATGTACAAGGAAGCCCCGTTGCACCTCAAGTGTTTCATTTACGAGGCGATCGACTGCTTGGACGACCTGAGAGCGAAGGTTAATCGAATATCCTCCAGTGTTTGTCACATCTTTTGGGAAGTGAGGAAGAGGATTACCACGATCCTGCCATTTGAAATCGAACCGAAGGGAGTGCTCACCGACAACGAGGAGGTTGTTGGTACGACGAGGGGGATGAAGATACGGGCAACCATTCTTGACATGTCAACATCACCGAACTGTGTTCCGTGGGATGATGACGCATTTTCTGAACTGTACGCTTTCCTCATGACATGTTGTGGCGAAAATTGGGCCTTGATCATTTTCGTGTCGATGAAGCACCAGAAACAGGTGATGCAGAGTGTGTACAAGTGGGATGATGTTGAGGTGCTCACTGGGTCATGGTACAAATACTACACACCTTCGACAACCTTGAATAAGTACGGCAACATTGCAGTTCGGTACACTGACATGATGGCTATTGTCCTCCACGCCGAGAACGACAATTTGGACAATATAACGGTTGCGCCGAAATTGCGAGCCGAGTTGACAAATTTGAACGTTGAAGAGGGAGAATTTGTGAGGTGCTCAGGGGAGTGTATCGGCGTGTCAGGCGACATTGACCCGGTTTATTCTTGGATGGAACGAGAGTCAGCACGTCTCCGAAAACTATGCAGCTCGTTCATCAGGGAGGACGATGGCGTGATGTTGTTGGGCAGGGCGCATGCGGGACTAGTTTGGGAACTCGCTCGCGCCGGACACCACGTGTTTGCGTGTGACGACGTGACAAAAGAGCTCACATACCTTTCCAAGTTTTTGGAGTTTTATGTGAAGGATCCGAGGAACAAATCTAGGTTCGAAAAGCCCCAAATCGAGCACCGCAAGGACCGGGACATATGCTACAAGCTCGGCAGAAAGAGGGAGAAAGTGTGGGCTTACTTGTTCGGTGACAGCCCACAGTCGGCGATTGATAACGACTACGTCATCAGGAAAAGTGAACTTGAGATAACAATGAACGAGTACCACGACTCGCACATGGGTGCTTTCCACATGTTCGTCGCACGTTGTAAGCATCTGTATTTCAATATGAAGAAAAAAACACTATCAAGCAGGGACTATGCCTTCACTATCAAGCAGGGACTATGCAGACTTGGCACGTAAAGCTGGCAACTTCAACAACATCAATTGCGACGAAGACACATCAGACTCCGACCTGGACGTTCTGTTGTGCATGGCACGAGGTGTGCCGGAGGGAGCACGTGCCGAGGAGCCGCAAGGGGGCATCAATGGAGCTGCGGAGAAAGCGAGCTCGAGTTTGGGAACGACACGTGCGAGTGAGGGAAATATGGAAATAAGAATGAATGCAAAGGGGGAAAAGAATGGTGTATCAACGAACCCGGTGGGTGCGAGTGAGTGAATTGTTAACTCACGGGGCAACTCAGGGGGAGGACAGAATGGGTGTGCAATGACCCCGCCGATAGTTGGACCATCATCGACACATACACCACAGGCCGAGCAGCGAACGCTCACGTCGATGGACACAGATGAAGACGAAGACTTGGATATCACAACACTCACGCCGAAGCTCGTGCCAGGAAAACCGTTACCTCAAGGCTTTGCTCAAGATCCGTCAGTGTCATACTTGCTGCAAGACAAGTACAAGGAGTCGTCGAAGGAGGATTGGGGTCATCATATTCTCTAGCATGAGGGCGTGTTCGAACCGTGCGTGTTTTCAGGCAAGTGGCACATGGTTGTGATGAAAAGAGACCGCGATTTTGCTCAAGACCCGTCAGTGTCATACTTGCTGCAAGACAAGTA